GTGACACGGCCTCCACAAAATGTAAATGTTTTCTGCCAATGAAATGATTAGCCTGTTGCAGTTGTATTCTATCAGTTGTCACTAATTACAACTATCATTTACCAACTATCAGCTATCACTATGAATCACTAGTTACCAGATTTACTTGGAGGCCGTCGTCACTTGGTGTGTGGTCTGCACTCGACGCGCTTCTGGTTTTCTGAAAAGAGCGTACCACCAGTGCCTCCGTTGATGAGGGTCTTGCGACCGATGTCTTTCCATGAGCAGAAGCATGCCCATGTTAACTGCCTCACCTTCTTCAGAATATGTAGTCAACTGCCATCGCCGTCCACTCAAGCAGACCTACCTTTAATGCCTTAACATGAAGCTGCTACCTGATTTATTCAATCGATACAGTGGTAGGGAGAACTCTTTACGATGATGTGACCATGCATAACCCCTAATGATCAGTAAGCCAAACAACGTCGTCAGAAGCTGGCGCCATGTTCCCTCGGCAAATCCTTCTTCTACGTCGGTTCAGAAGGCTATTGTGAGGTCTTCTGATAACTGAAAGGTAACTTTCCTTCCCCAACTGGGAGCATTCGGTGTGATTATAGCAAAGATTACCTATTCAACTTTGAATGTGGAGGGAAATTCTCTTCTGCCTCACTCCTCCTCCCCCCTCCCACTCCCTTAGTGAAGGTCGGCATAGGCTCCTGGCCTTCTAGGCACCAGGATGATATTCCGTTATTCAACGCAACATTTTTTTAGCCACACGGTTACGCTGACGGTGGAGTGTATGTGCTTTCACGACCTGCCGTCGAAGTTTTCAACCGAATCATGAAGAACCCGAGGCTCTGCCCGGAACATCACAGAGCAGAAGAAGATCAAGAGGTGGTTCTTGAGAAAATTCATTGGGAAGATATTTTTATGAAACTTCGAATTTCGTGAAATGCCGTGAACATGATACACTGGCAAAGGAAAGTTAGAAAATTCTTGCCGAGCGTAGATTTGAAAAAAGCGTTTTATTTTAGATGGGACGCTGTTTGGCGGCGGCTGGAATATACCCTGAAGATACTCGAGATGAAAATGGATCAGACAGGTGAACGATGGCATTTTATAATTGCATTTCAAGCCATTTAGGCAGGGCATATCCCCTTCCCTCCCTTTCTCCCCCCTGTGTACCGCATGGAAGGTTGAGCGATGAAAACTGTTTATAACACAGCAGTTGTCATCACGTTGTGCCCGAGATGATGGAGATTTATTGTATGCCGGCTGAGCCTTTTCAATGTTTTTTGTGTCAACTGAGTCACGCCGTTTCTCTAAAGGCCCCTCGGCGCAAAATTCGACGTCATCATCTTCTTGCATATTCTAGGAGTTACCTTCGGCCAATCACTGTTTTCGGCATATCGAGTAGAATTGGTCTGTCACAAGAGCCCAAGATGCCGCTATTCATCGACTTGAAGAAGGCCGTGGAGTCTGTGGAGATAGAAGTGGTCCTTCAAGGCTCTAGGCAACCGCGGCGCCGCTCCTGGTCGGCAAACGCACAAGGATTCTTCTTAGGATTCTAAAGCAGCCGCGTCCGGCCCTTATCCTTATGTGAGGAGCGTCGCGCGTTAGCTGGGTCGGGAAGACATGAAAGTGACAGTCGAGGAGCGGCAGCTATACACCTTACACTTTGCTGATGAC